CCAGTGGTAGCATGTAGACGTTAAAGAGAAGAGGCCCCAAGATGGAGCCTTGAGGTACCCCACATGTCATATTTGTCAACTCAGATGTGTATTTACCTATAGAAACAAAGTTGTTTCTGTCCTTTAAGTAGGATTCAAACCAATTTAGAACTGTTTCCGAAAGTCCCACCCAGTTTTCTAGTCGATCTAGTAATATGTTGTGGTCAACAGGGTCAAACGCAGCACTGAGATCTAATAATACTAACACTGAAGTTCTGCCACTGTCTGTGTTTAAGTGGATGTCATTGAAGACCTTTACAAGAGCAGTCTCAGTGCTGTGGTTTGGACGAAAGCCTGACTGGAACACATCCAAACAGTTATTTAAATGCAAGAAGTTACTCAACTGTTGAAAAACTACTTTTGCAATGATTTTACCTAGAAATGGCAGGTTTGACATGGGCCTGTAATTGTTCATTACTGAAGAATCTAGATTATTCTTTTTTAAGAGCGGTTTAATGACTGCAGTTTTCAGGGCCTCTTGAAAAATACCTGAGTGAAGAGATTTGTTTACTATATGAAGTAGATCTGAGGCCATGCAAGGAAAAACATCTTTGAAAAATCCTGTTGGAATAATATCAAGGCAGCAGGAGGAGGATTTCAGAAGTTGAATAATGTCCTCTAGGTTTTTATCATTAATCTGATGGAATTGTGTCAGTAAAAGCACGTTGGTAAAAATGTCCTCGATTGTTTTAATTTAACGATTAAAAGTAGAATTGAATGCACTGTAGTTTCTGTTTTTTTCTTATCACAGCGGAAAATATAGATAACTTTTTAGATAAAATATTAGTAATTCGATACATTCATTGCTTGTTTAAGTCTTCAGAGCAGGGGTTCCCAACCCCCGGTCCGCGGACGCACGCACACACACACACACACACACACACACACACACACACACACACACACACACACACACCACACCACACACACACACACACACACACACACACACACACACACACACACACACACACACCGGCGACCGGACACCTCCTTCATAATGCGCCTTCTCCTCGTTTTCCCAGCATTCACTGGATTATCCGTAAATCAATCAAACAAAACCAAAACGTTGATTTATCTGTTTTCCCGTTTTGGTTTAAAAACTGAATAACATCGGTTTTTTGGTTTTCCGAAAAACCAAAAAACAACACCGGTTCTTTTTTAAACTTTGTTAATATGTTTTGGATGCATATTGTTCTAGTATTTGTTCAGGCTGTTACATACAATTAGCCTCTGTTGCTACCTGCTGGTGGTGAGTAAATATTAAAATCAGTTAAAATTGACAACCGGTCCGCGATTTTTTTTTAATGTATCTACCGGTCCTTGGCACAATAAAGGTTGGGAACCCCTGCTTTCGAGGACATTTGCTGACAATAAAAAAATGAAAATGATGGGCGTGGCAGTAATATAATTGTGTACAGTGTAACAGCTGGATTTAACGCCCTGTTTTATTGTGCCTAGCTGCACATGGACCTTACTGTGTTCTTCAAATATGAATCCTGAGCCGTTTCCTCGGTCGCTCTCTCCCGCTGTGCTGATATGTAAGTGGGGGAGTTTTAAATAAACCACAACAGAGCCAGAGTATGTCTCTGCTCTCTGTAATCACCCCCCTGACAAATAAAGAGTAATTAAATCTGAATCGCCTTGCATGGCGTTTCAAACCACTAAAGGGTCGTTGACTGATTTAGCAATCTGGCTTTTTCCACTACTTCCACCCACTCTGCTTCATGTGGCATCATATTGTGCTTTTTATGGACACTCTGACATGGACTACTGGTTTTATTTGAGAGTAAAATTCAACAGTTAGGGACCCCATGTTCCACAAACCCCTGAGCTGGCCAGTTAATCTTGCACGTCACTGTTAAATGTGCATGTTTGTTTCCCTATTGTCTTTCTATATTCAGCCAGCCGGCCTCAACAATGTTCAAACTCTGTCCAATTACACTACGAGCCTGATACTCACTGAGCCAGTTGCACCAGCTTTCAGAGGATCAGTGTGTGTGTGTGTGTGTGTGTGTGTGTATGTGTGTGTGTGTGTGTGTGTGTGTGTGTGTGTGTGTGCTGGGTGGCACTGCTGTTGGCAGGAATCAGTGTGAGAGATTTACAGCTGAAGGCATGGCTGTACGTCCAATCTGTTTCCGTGGTAACCGTTGCAGAATAAGATGGAAAAAATTAAATCATCCGCAGCTGAAAAATACCCATAAAATTGGGAACAAGACATAACATTGGACAGTACTCACACATAGAGGACAATTCAAACCTTCAAAGTCTGAAAATAGGCAGCGCTGAAACAGATTGAGGCTCAGAGCGGCAAAATGAAAAAGAAAAGGAGCCTGAGGAAAGAAAGTCAAACAGAGGAATCCACACCCTCTGGGGCTTCAGAGGCAGAACTAGAGTGTGTAAATATTGTAGGTAAACTGAATTAATTATGTATCATTCTTTTACTTTGATCTCAGTTTGAATTAAATCACAGAATTGGTTGTTTTGGAGGTAAATCATGCTGAATGAATGATGCGTTCAGGGCATTGTCAGCCAGAGACCTCTTTAAGTGTCTTTTAGAATGTTTTATTGGATTTGATGTCTTTGATTTGAGTTCTGGGTTACATGTTACAAAATTGTGTGGTTGAGAATATATATGTTTGCCTCGTGGTTTAAGGTAATAATAACAGCCAAAGATTGAATCTGTCTGTGGACTGTGTTCAGTTGCATGTCAGCATCTTTGCTTCTGGTATTTTCTTTGGTCGAAAATGCAAAAAGATAATTTCATTCTGAACTATTTCCACATGTACTAACCCTTAAAGGTTTTATAGTATAAATACCAACTTAAGAAATATATGACCAACATGTTTGCTCTGTGGATTTTAGAAAAAGTCTGCTTGTAAAAACTATAAACCTTTTCAATACAGTACGTTTTACAATAGTTATGTTAATTCTAAAGTAAAAATAATGTGAGAAATATAAAAAAAAAAACTACTATACCAAATCATAGTGAACATGAACAACAAACAAATCAATAGACCCACAAGTTGACATCACAACAAACTTAATGATATACTGTAAAGTCTTAACTTATCGTATTAACTATCCAAGAGGGAGAAAGATATACTGGGAAAAATATACTTTTCTGAGCAGAGTGGATTATTGTGTGTAAATTATACACAGCTATTATATTTCAGAGCATTTGATTTGGAGCAGAAACATTATGGCAAGCTATAAATCTCTCCTGACAAATCACGAGCTAATCTATGCAGCATTGGAAATGATACGATGTAAAACCTACTTATATAAGATTACAGTCCTTTTATTGTTGTAATTTAATTCCTTCCATATGCCATAAACAGGCTTGGGGAGTAACGGATTACATGTAACAGGATTATGTAATCAGGATACAAGATTTACAGTTATATACAAATATGTAATCAGATTACTGTTACATTTCTAAAATTGGGAATAACTAGCAGGTTTACAGTGTTATTTAAAACCTAAAAAGAGCATATAGTGTTTGTTGTAAAGGATCAGATTGTATTTCTTTTCATTTCAGCAGGTGAACCTATATGTCCATAAAATAGTGTGTGTGAGCTTAACTGTGTGTATTAAACTAAAACGGAGCATTTTTATGTCAGCTCAAATTTTATTTCAGCTTTTCTTTTGTGTTTCATTGTTGGTGCTACTGCCTGAATATGCTTCATGAAAGGCAGGTTTTCCTATAAATAAAATAATTGTTCATACTAAATATCTTGGTTTCTTATTTTCTAAGGTTACATTGTACTGTTGTCTTTCATACAGAGATGGGGTCGTTACTAAAAAAAGAAGTAATATATTACATATTACTTTAAAAAAAAGTAATATATTACACTACTTCATTACTCTCTACATAAAGTAACTCGTTACTTTACTCGTTACTTTACTCGTTACTTTACTCGCAGGGCCGGCCCGCCCCTCCCTACAGGCAGATCACGCAGACTGCTAAAGTTTCAAATGTTCTCTTTAGTTCAGTTTCCATTGTCGCATAAGACTGATCCAGATAGCTCTGACTATGGCTGTCCTCTGTCTCCTGCTATCTGTATTTTGCGCAGTATATCTCTGAACGATGCGATGGTGATTCCACTGTGCAAATAGGCAACATTTCCTCTACTATGAAGGATGCTTCAAGCCTGTCCATCTCTGCTTTGGTTACCGGTCCTCCAAATTCTAATTTGTGCTGCTTCGGAGTCGGCGGCGGCGCACTCACAACATCCTCACTCTGGGTTCGGGGGTCCGGTCCTTAGCTATTAGCTTCACCTTAGCATGTGTTCTTTGCAGGTGTTTGTTGAGGTTTGACGTGGTGTTTACAGCAGTGTATACAGCTTCTGGCCTGGACACAGTTTGCACCTCACCGTCACATTCCTGTCTATTCTTCGGACGAACTCAAAATAATGGGCATACCTCCACCCCTCGAAAGTTATCGCTGACTCTGCCATGTTTATGCAGCACTGCACGTGGAGATGTGGACGCACAAGTCGCGCAGATTACGTACATATAAACCTGCGGCGGAAACCCCTCTTGTCTGTCAGTGTGATGACTGATTTTATAAAAGTAACAAAGTAACGCGTGTCGGGGCAATGTTAGTAACTGTAGTGTGATTACTGAATTATAAAAGTAACGCGTTACACTACTCCGTTACCGACAAAAGTAATATTATTACAGTAACGCGTTACTTTGTAACTTTGTAACGCGTTACACCCAACTCTGCTTACATACTACATTAAAACATCTTATTGTTATTTATTTTCTCTTTTATTTATTTGCATTGCATTTGATATTGAGGTAATCAAAAAGTACCGTAAAGTAATCATTTTAATTACTTTTTTACGTTACTAGTAATTGTTCTTTACATTTTGAAAGTAACCCTCCTGACCCTGGTCATATGAGTGTTAGGCCTGTGCTCATGTTCTGCCTGTGTGTAACTCTGTGTCCTGCAGATGGCGCTCCGCTGAGTGAGCTGTCCTGGTCCTCGTCCCTGGCTGTGGTCGCCGTCTCCCTGTCCGGCCTCTTCTTCTTCGTCTTCCTCATGCTGGCCTGCCTCTGCTGCAAGAAAAGCAAAACCGGCTTCAAGGTGAGCCTCTCCTTGGAGCTCTCCTCAGCCTCTACATCAAACATGAAAGAAATATGAGGGATAGAGACACACCTCTGCTCCCTCATACACACACTCATTCAATCATTCGAGGTTTTTATGGAGTCTTGCATGGAGATACATACTCTATCTCTGTCTTTGCCCATGAATGTTATTGACCCGCACACAGAGCGTTCCTCTCAGCCTGTCATTAGACTTCCATTAGATTGAGTACACAAGGTCTCCAGCCATTGGTGATGTTGATGGGAAGTAGATAAAATGGCAGACAAAGGTGGTGAGGTTGTGTTTATGTAGCAGCAGGAGACCCTTCTGTGTCATTGATGTAGACCCCATTTGTGAACAGCATGCAGAAATGGGTCAGGGTCCGGATAAAATGGGACAGGGAGCAAGGAATGTAGTGAATGTGTTTCTGTGGGTAGGTTGGAGGAATTGAGGGAATGTTAAGCTAGTATATCTGTGACTGCTTTCCTTCTGTGGGTCAGCTGTGTGTTCCTGTTGATTCACCTATTTTAAACATATTATATTGTGGCGTTTTCTAGCAGAAAAACTATTTATGCTATAATAATTTTCACTAAATCCCATTTTTTAAACATGGTTGCTTTAAAAAAACTCTGAAACATTTCCCTCTAAAACATGTGTGCATAGATTTTTGGATCATTTTGAAACTTGCATTATTACTAGTCTTCTTCCACTCTGCCATTTGTTGCAGTGTTTCTTGGTCTATTATCACTAGCATAACTGAATAACTTGATACTGAGGAATGTCATATAGCTTGCCTCACATTTACTTGCTCAGTTGGCAGGAATGCGTATCCCATCATCTCTGCAAGCTTGTACACACCACTAGTGGTCCAAATCAGCATAGTCCATACTACTTTTATATTAGGTTATTGACAGAAAAAGTGTTTACTCACAGCAGCAGGATGAGGCTGTTTGAGGAATGGCAGTGCTTTGAGCTAAATGATAACAACAACATGCTAACACGCTCACAATGACAACCACCAACAACGACACACTGCAATTTGTTTCCCAGTAACTTGAGTTGTTCCCAACATTTTCCAGAACTGAGGAAAATAACTAAAAAGAAAATTTAACGGACAACCTGCATAGCTAGCAGGGAATGCTAAAGTGCTATCTTCTTCCTGTTTTTGCTACAACTCACTTCCTTATAGCTGTATATCAAATATTATTTTTCCATTTCCCTTAGTTTTGAACTGTTGGTTGGGTATGAGGTTACATTTTATGTTTGAAAAAAATAATATCCTCAACAAACCCCTGCTGTGATGATATTCCTGCACAACAATTACAACCGTCATTTTGATATTTAGTTCCCAATGTAATGTAAGCAATTAACGTAGTATGTGGGTTGATAATGGTACATTGCAGAAGTCTTTCTGCCGCATTGACACTGTGATGAGAAATAAAAGATGAAACCTGTCAGACAACTTTTATATTGAGTCACAGACATACTGTATAAAACAGTTTTAATAATGAGGTATGCCTTTGGGTGCATCTCCATCATCTCTTCTCCCTTTATTCATCCTCAGCCTTTCTCCATTCCTCAATTTTCTCTCCACTTTGAATGTCTGCAGAAGCACAGAGCTGTACTGATTTCAGAGGCCATGTTGCGTAACATCCTGTCCTCTCTTGTGTGTGTGAATACATCTGCATCTTGCATTTCTGGATGCCTATTCCTCACATACAGTATGTATAACGTGAATGATGCCTGGTTTGTGTCTTTGGCACGTTGGACCACCCAGTTCGGACCTGTTGGGGTGTGTCCGGGGAAGGGGCCAGGGTTTGGAGGGAGGGGGAGAGAGAGGGTGAGAGGGCGTGAGGAAGGGCATACCCATGAGGCCACAGTGCATCCGGCCTCAAGGCCCCATCTGGAATCAGACACAGCCTCTCCCAGAGCAGGAAGAGGGAATTTTAGAAAAGAGAAAAAACTTCAAGAGGAGACGAGAGTGAAAAGATTCTCTGTGTTTTACTGAAGGAGAGATGAGAAAACATCCTCCAGAGATCCTTTCAGTTGAAACGGGATAGTTTCTGGGTTTTGACTTTGTTTTAGTATTAAAAGTTTGCAGTAAAAAGTTTGCATTGAAAGCCTTTTCTGATTTCTATGATTGAATATTCTGACCTTTAAAAAATATGTTCAAATGAAAGTCATCTTATTTGCAAATTCTTTTGACATTTTAAGGAATAGCTCAACATTTAAGAATACCTGTCTTCTTATCTAACCCCTGCAAAAGAGCAGATAACTGTACTTTTCAAATGTCAAAGTAATCCTTTAAAGAAATAACTATTGTCGTTGTACGTTTTCATTATGGTTTAAGGAGAATGAAACTCCCAAAACTACGATGGCCAAAAGGGGCAATCATGTTACAACGGCTCAAAACACTTACATTCAAATAAACTCTCAACCTTTAACTGTCAATGGAAACTAACCTTAAATCTAAGTTTTATTGGCTTATTTTAACAATGTGATCACATGGCTCCTTCCGATATTATTGCAGATCTGCTGTTAGCTAGCTAGCTCACGCAGCTAACCTAGTCAATTCAAATATACTGATAAAACATTTAAAAACAGGCTAACTCTGCCAACAGTGACAGTTGGCCAACTTTATAATCCCGAACAACAACAAGCGCTCCAGTCCCAGCTGTGTGCGTCACTTTTTAGTGTCCCCTTTACTGTAGTTTTGTGTAGTGTTTTTTAATTGCTGCGTTTTGTTTATACAGTAAATACTGCTCATGAGTTGTCAAGTCAGTCAGTGAATATGTTTCTTCATTTGCATATATTTTGGCACATTTGTGTTTTTAAACTTGCAACGTTTTTTGCAAGTGCAGCGCCTTTGTTCTAATGTAAGTGTTTAAGGCCGTTTACCACTTTCGGCCACCGTACGAAAGGGCAAGATAACATGTTAAAATACCTTAAGAAAACATGGATCTGACCTTCAACAAAAAAGAAGCGGAATTAGTTCCATATTTTTTTAATTTTAAATGTTAACAATTTCCCCAATCAGAAACGTTCTTAAATAACTGTCACATTCTTTAATCATGCTATAATCTTAACAAACACCCTTTTATTCAGGGTTCCATAAATTCCTCTTGATTTAAGGCCTTCATTTTGCTTAAATGTGTTAGATTTAGGGGAAAATGATTTAAATAAACCTTAAAGCAGGTTATATCTCTCACAGGCTCCGCCCTCTACTGGACTCTATGGGTACTACCTTATCCTGCGAGCATTCTCCTACTGAGATTTCTATAGACGTAGCCGGCCTTGGGGCGGGCCTACCTGAATGCGCGCGCATCTCACCGTATAAAAGGAGGCCTCGCCTCCTGATCGTCATCCCTTTCTATTCAGCGGCGGAAGTGAAATCCACTGAGACGAACGAGAAAGTGAAAAGAGAAGTCATGGAGCCACTCCTCGACCATAGAACCTGCCCGAGTGTCCGAACCTGATCGCGGGAGCTGATCCGCACCCCCTCTGCTTCCTGTGTATGGGGCCGGACCACGCCGGGGGCGGCCTGGACCCGTCACTGGCCTGCAATACGTGCCAGATGATCCCTCGGCAAACCCGCCAACATCGCGGGGATCATTTCCAGGCGCGGCCCATAGGAGGAGCCGGAGGATCAGGACCTCGAGGTGGTTGAGCCGGGAGATGGGGAAGTGCCATTCCGATTCACCCTTCCATGGGGCCAGATGGCCCCGGTCCCGGAGGAGGACGAGGACGCCTCATTGTCCGGTGGTCCGACTCAGCGGTGATGACCCTGGCGGCGGAGCGCGTAGGTCTACCGCTCCCCCCACCGCTGCCACCGAGGCCTGTAAGCCACCTGAGACAGGGGTTTTACGGCCCGGTACATCCGGTGCAGCCGGCCTTCGTCTCGCCCCCGTTGCCAGACATCTGGCAGTGTGTGGAGGCGACATGGCAGCAGCCATTAAAAACGAAGGCCCCAGTAGCCGCCATGGCGGGCATCATCAGGGTGCAGGGCCACTCCGACACGGCGTGTCCCGGTGTGCCCCCCCTCGACGAGAGCCTGGCGGCCCATCTGCTTCCGTGGGCGGCTGGTTGGGCGGAGGGTAAGAGACCTCTGCCCCCGCTGCCCCCGCTGCCCCGGGACCGAGACACCTTGGAATATCTCGACAAGATATTCAGGCTCGGTACGCAGATGGCGGCTGCGGCAAATAATCTGCTGTTGGGCGTCTCCCTGATTACCCCTCAGGCAGACGCCCCCGCCCTCCCGCAGCAGGACGGGAGCGATTATCCGGACCGCTGCATTGGTCAGATGAATAATCTGATCCACGGAGTGGCCACCGCAGCAGGGCGGGTGATGTCTTTGGCCACAGTGGCGTCTCGTCACGTCTGGCTAGATTTCACTGCCCTATCCAAGAAGGACCGAGAGGATCTCCTTGGAGCCCCCGTTTCCACGGAGGGGCTCTTTGGGTCGATATCTTCGGTCACCCAGCGCTTCAGCCGTCTAGAGGAAGAGAGAGTCCAGCTTAGCCGTATGCTACCGCTGGCTCTTCCTCAGGCCCCGCAGCGCGCTCCTCCACGGGTTTCCCTGCAGGCTAGGGAGCGCAGCGCGACAGTGAAACGGAGGGAGAGGCGCCCTCCACCTCTATAGCCCATCCCGTGGAACCGGCGTACCGGCATTCATGGGGACGGGCTGCCCGACCTCGGCAGGCTCCTCAGCAGCAAAGAGCGGCTGGGTGGGGTGCTCCGTCTTCCCGGAGCTGACTGGCGGGGGGAGGAAGCATCTCGGCGGGGGGAGAGAATCTCTCCGCCCGGGACGCAAGGGTGAATCCCGCCTCCTCCCTGTTTAATGCACAGATCACGACAAAGTATTTTACAAATAAAAAGAAAGTTGATCTGTATCCAAGTCTAAGTGTCCCTTGTTTCCACAATGCTACACTTACACGTAATGTTAACTGTACAAATTCCCCACTCGCCGCCCCGGCCGTAGCTCCTGTAAAGGAGGTGGCTAG